TCACGAAGCTTTATGCTTATGGTTTTCAGTTTATGTTTCAGGTACTTCCAACTAGAAGGGGAAGAGCCCGACCTGATCGCACTAAATCCACCTATGATTTTCCGTATTATGTGATTTTGGGAATTTGTACTCTGATCAAATGTTGTTATGATACACTTTCGACTGTTTTGATGTGATTATCATATGTTTTGAATGAAATTTAAAAACAAAATTGTATACATATTTTTGAGACGTTACAGGTCATTAAGACCATTTATGGTAATTCTGGACATCTTGGTGTGAACCTTTCTTCCACAACGAATTCGACTTTGGTGGATATTATCAACATTGTGGATTAGCTTAATGGGCTAGATGCGCATTTCTTACAGTTGTGTAACAAAAAGATTTGGGATGGTGTTTCTACTTCTTTCTAGATTGATTCGTGGTTAGGTGGCATGGTGTCAAAAAATCATTGTCCCTAAATTTATAACTTGGAGAATTATAAATACATTACTATAAAGGACAAGTTGAGTAATAAGTCCTTGATGGTTTCTCTTCGTAGATCTCCTAGAGGTAGGACCAAAAGTCTCCAATGCGAGGGCCTGATTTTGCCTTTTGATTCTATTTCTTTGTCTCCAACTCCTAATAGATGTTGTTGGTCTTTTTTGGGTATGGGTGATTTCTCGGTGGTTTCAATGCGTTCTTTTATTGATGAGAAGATGTTACTTGTTTCGACTTCTCCTACGTGGTGGATTCAGGAAGTTTCTATCAAAATAAATGTGTTTGGTTGGAGGTTAGCTCTTGATAAATGCCCTACTAGGGTCATTCTAGATAGAAGGGGTTTTGGATATACCTTCTTTGTTATGTCCGATTTATGAAGATGCGCTCGAGTCTTCCTCTCATCCTTTCTTTTAATGTTCCTTTTCGGCTAGCATTGTTCAACAAGTGAGTCGGTGGTGGGGTATATTGGTTCCCATTTATCTTCTTAGGCAGATTGGTTGGCTTGGTTTAAGGATTTTGCGGTTACCGGCTCTTGCTAAACTATTCTCGGAAGGTGTTTTTTATGTTGCTTGGTGAATCATTTCGGAATTCAGAAATTATCGGCATTTTGAAGTGACAAAACCGAAAGCACCTTTCATTTTTAATAATATACTCACTAAGTCTTAAGGATGAGCGAAGGACGGAACGGGTACCGACCCGTACCGTTCCCGATTTCCCGAAAACCGAATTTGGTCGAAATTCAATCCCGAGTACCGAACCAAATTAACATTACCGGTACTGGTACTGGGAATGGTACCGGTTTTCGGTACTAGTACCGGTACCGACGGTACCGATTCCCGAATTTCATGTATTTGGAGTATCAAGTACAATCCCATATTTTTCAATTATGTACAGTTCGGTACCGGTTCTGGTGCGGGATCGGGATTTGGGACAAACTGTTCATCTCTACTAAGTCTTTTTTTGGTAATGTCAGGGATAAAAAGACATTAACCGGGTGGGGTAGCTTCAAGACCCAAAACTTACTATTATGTAATTTTTCTCTTTTTTCCCGTCTAGTTTCTTGTTAGACCGGTCTTTTGTAATAAAAATGTTGCCATTAAAAAAATCTTTTATCCTAAATTAATAAATTTAAAAGGTGAAAATTTGTTTGAGGCATATGCTTACTCACTTCACAAGCCTCATTGGTCATCATTTCTGTCCCACTTCATCCGAAAACAATCTACAAGACCACAACATTTCCAATTCATATGAAACATAAGTAATGCAATTTGGCATGATCATCGGAAACCAAAAAAACATAATATTATTAAAACCCACCTTGCGAATTTTGGTGATGCTTGTTTCCTGCCTCTTTTTTTGTTTAGTTTCCTACATACATAAAGATATACAAGACTTGGTAAATACATACAAGCCCCTATAAACTCTACAATGTGAAAAAAGAGAAGGGCCGATGGTTATCTCAGGACGTAAAAGGCGCATGCCATCAAGGCTAGCTCCCGAATGTAACAACTCAAATGACAGTTTCTAATTGTTTAGTTTCTATTGTAGGAAGTTTGTACTTATCGTCTTTGGACTACGGAGAAGGATTTTCATATTTCAAAATGAGCGGAGTTTCAGATTAAACCACAATATTTCTTATAACTTGTTTTTTAATAAGAATATATTTCAAAACAATTATAGATCTATCTATAGAAGAAATTACAACTTTCGCTGCTTGGAGTAAGCTCATTGTCACATACCCACATACGTGGCTTACCCCAGTCTCGACATTTCTTAAAACCTAAAGAAACCCATAAAAAAAACTCGAACTTAGAACTTAGAACTAATCGTTATTGATTCATTGAGAGCATAATTATAGATGGCAATTTGAGGTAAAAAATAATTACTCAAATAAATAATCAATTAGTAGTAACTTGTTATAAGGTATAACCCTATAGGATCATATGTTATTAACAATATTATTATACAATGACTCTTGGGCATACAAGATTTTTCAAGAAGAACCTTTGTATCTGAAAAATTTTCCATTCCAAATTCTATAAAAAAATTTGGTACATGACTCTTAATTTATGAAAAATACCATCATGACTTTGATATATTTGTAAGGCAAGAAAGATTTTTTTTTCCTGTCATGCTCCTTTAAAACTTTTTTTACTTTAACTGTTAAAATTCTTTTGTATGTTTAGGATCCGTACAACCAAATATAATATCATCCATATAGATTTGAACCAATATGAGAGAATCTCCATCCTTTTGTGGAAAAATATTGGATCTAAAAACCATGCTTAAACTTTAAGATTTCACAATCTATGTTAGTGTTTCGTACAAGGCATGTAGAGCTTGTTTTAATCCATAAAGAAATTATCTTAAATATAGTAAATTTTAGGATACTTATCGTTGACAAAATTCAGAGGTTGCTCCACATAGACAGAATCTTCCAGTTCTCCATTGAAAAAAAGCACACTTCGTATAAATTTGATAGACATCAAAGTTCTAATGTGCAACATAAGCAAGAAATATTTTCACATTGGCCAAACGTGACACGGGCCGACCCAATACATCAAAGTTCTAATGAAGCCCACTTCTCCATCCAAGAAGAATAGCGTCCGGAAGCAAGAATGAAAGGCGTGGGCACCAACATGAACCTTGAGAACTGCAATCGTCAGATACCAATCACTGCCTTTGAAAATCGTACGAGTGTCAATTTGTGTGTGCAGATCGAGGAGTCGACACTCTATAGTCGAGGAAGTAGGAGTGGAAACACTCTAAATCGACTGATTTCTGAGTTCGATTTCTCTCTAAACCTGCTGCTAATGGAATTTTTTCTACCTCTCCTCTAATTTTTGTTTCTGAGTTCTATTTTGATCACCTCTCATTGTTAAACAGATAAGACTAAGTTCAATTTTTTTTAACCTAAAGCAAGAGACAACTAATGAAAGCATGGTCATCAACTGATTTGGGTAAGTTCTCTTCTCTTCAACTGATTTAGATTTTTCTTTCTAATTTCTTTCTTAATCTGTTGTCATCAATCATCACTTATGGACCGGTTTGTTTTAGCTTTTTAGGAGTTGGAATGTCGGATTTTTTAGAAGTTTGAATGTTGGATATTTTATGATTTTCATTTTCAACATGAAGCAAGAGACAACGAAAGAAAGGACTGATTTTTTATTTCTCTTTAACTTATTTGGGTGAGTTCTTTTCAACTGATTTCGATCTTTCTAGTTTATTTCTAAACCTGTTGCAATCAATCTTTTCTCTTTTTATTGTATGTTTTATGAGTTGGAGCTCCGATTTGTCTCCTGTTTGAACTCGAAATCTGTTTGCTTTGTATTTTATATTTATGGTTTAAATTTGGCTTGAGTTAAAATTTTTGGCTATGGTTTGCTTCTGATAAAAATTTCTAAAGTTTCTATACTTTTTTGTTCATGTTTCTAAGATAAAAATTTCTAAAGTTCCTTTCTATACTTTCTTGTTCATGTTTCTGTGAATCACGAGGCATATTATTTTATTGAACTTTTGATTTCTATTTATTTAGAGATCTGTTTTGTGGCTACTTTGATGTTTTGTGTTCTTATTTCTAGGAAGGTATATTTTTATTTTATTGTTGTTATTTGACAATAGTTTTTAAAAATGGATTCCTAATTCTAATTCTACGATTCGTTTTTCAGATATGACATCTTCAACGCGGAAACGAGAATAACGGATATGTTCCGTAATGTGTTGGTTACATATAGAATATTATTGATGATGTTGGTTACGGTTGCTTACGTGAAAAACATTTTTTTAAAATTGAAACTTTTGAAAGTGATTTTATACAAAATATTGATTATTTTAAGATAAGATACGGAAAATAGCATTCAACATGAGCATCATGCTCCCCTCAATGAGCATCTTGAGTTATGTATGATTTATGTCTAACAATATACATTTAGGTGAATTTTGAATAGGTACCCACTTCTTTCCACCACAAGTTTCAATAGCTAAATGTCCGCAAAGATCATCTAGACCAACCGTACTGAATTTTAAAACCATAAAAATATATAAATCAATTTTTCTAAAATTTGGATTAAAATATCAAGAAAAGAACAAAAATTATAATTTACTATTATATATATATATATATATATATATATATATATATATATATATATATATAGAGAGAGAGAGAGAGAGAGCGAGCGAGCTAGGTTCAGATGTTTAAAGTATTTATTGTGTTATTGTATGCATAAATGTGGGCCAATCAAAATTTAAAATAAAAATAAATAATTAAATAAATAAATAATGGTAAATAGGTAATTTGATAATTAGTTTCCACAAATAATATCTTATAATTATGGTAACCATTGGCTTCAACAATTATTTTTTAAAACCACCTCCAATGTAAACCGTAACCCTAATCAAACCATCTCCATCTCTGGTCGTCACCTCCATCCTTATGCCTCCCACCACCGGCCGCCACCCTACCCTCTTGGTCGAAGTACTACAGAGATTCTAGAGAGAGAGATTTTGATCGGTTCGGGATGAGTCGGAGCTTAGGGATACCGGTGAAGCTGCTACACGAGGCCGCTAGTCACATTGTGGCGGTAGAACTCAAAAGCGGAGAATTGTACAGAGGAAGCTTAGTCAAATGCGAAGACAACTGGAACTGTCAAGTCGAAAACGTTACTTTCACTGCTAAGGTTACTCTCCTCGTTTCCCCCAATTAATTTCCAATTTTTATTTTCCGTGATTCGGTGTATTTTGTTGATTTTGCTTTTCTTATGATCTTGTTAAACCCTTGATTTGAACTTTTCTCTTGGGTTGTGTATAACGAATTAAGATACAATATGATGGTTTCTAATTATTTAATCATTTTGGTAGTAATGTACCAGAGAATCTGTGAAGGGGGTTATGGAATTTACAGATTGATTACATCTTTTTTGGAGGCGAAATTTATCTGATTCATGAGTTTATACTAAATATTTCCAGATGGGCAAATTTTTTTGTAGTAGTTACCATCTGCTTCAGATGAAATAAAACCACAAGATAGAGAAAATCATCAAACTTCAGTCTTTCAGGCTCTAATTTTGTTTAATTTCAACCTGCAACTTAAAGTTTAGTCTATAATCTAAGCTTGACTACAAATTCCTTTTTTCTTTATAAATTCTGTAAGGTAGTATTTGCAAAATCTTTTCCTTCAAGATTAGTCGAATCAAAGTACACAAGAAACCTTTTTTTTGGTTAAAGAACATCATTTTTTGTTCCTTAAAAGTAAAATTATGCAGAAAGAAGGACCTAATTCTTACTTCTTAGAAAGCATATGCTGGAAATTCGCTTAAGGTGCAATCAAGTGTTTACAATCTCCTAAATCATTTCATTCAGAAAAACTGGACCATTACTATAATAATGATTTGGTGTTTATGATGTGCTGGGTCGGAATGATTGAGCAGTTGTTCTTGCAGGTCAAAAGAAAAGTCAAAATTGATGATTTGTGGATGCCAAACTGCGAACGAACGAAACTAGGCTCGCACTCAGACCCACGAACATTCGTTGACTGTGATTCACAAGCGAACCTATGCTTGGGTTTGGGGTATAATCAACAGACTTGGAACGAAACTGGAACGACCCTCTCATCCGAAATTGAAAGTTGTTTTGATGCACACCAAGCGCTCGCTAAAATGCTACAATTGAATGGTATTTCTTCGTTTATATTATTCTATCAGAAAAGAATGTTTTTTATGATAATCATGAACATATTCTGTTAGAATTCCCCGAATTAATATAATTATTGGTAAATGAATTCCAATTCTATCATAATGGAATCACGAATTCCAATTATGTTGGAATGGAATATGAATATTTTCTCACTAATTTATTCATTGGATTTGTTTCTACAGAAGCTGATGCTTGAAGAACGGACCACAAAATTTGAACGACGCCTCTTAGCAACATTATTCATTTAGAATGTATTAGTGTCTTTGTTAGATTTTGATGTTTTTTTTTCCAGATTTGAAAGTTTTTTTAGTTTTATTCTTTAACAATAAATGTAATTCTTAGCAATTGTTACATGTATTCTATAAGAATTAATATAATTTTTGTTTTAATTTTTCAATTGATGGTTCGAGAATTTTGTTATTCTACAATAAATTTTTAAAGTCATGATCAAGAAATATGTTCAAGAATATTTTTATTATTTTGTGGTTCAAGAATATTTTAATTTTTGAACATACTTAAACATATTCTGTCAGAATGTCCGAATTAAAAACCTTATAATTTGTAAAATTGGATTTTTAAAATTAATAGAATCTATGATCCCTTAAAATATACAAATTTCATTTATTAAATCTATGTTAATTGACTAAAATACCATTCTAGTTAAATTAAATGGTATTTTTCAATTATATTTAATTCAATAATATGTATTAATCACTTTCTTAAAATAAGTAATTTTGATTGGCCCACATTTATGTATACTATAACACAATAATTACTTTGAATAGAATAACTAAGCCTATATATATATATATATATATATATATATATATATATATATATATAGGTAAACGTTCAAATGAGAGCCACTAAAAGTTAAGAACCACTAAGAACCCTTTTTATAAAGGGTATTTTTGTCATAACAATAACATCTTATATCTGTAACATTATAAACTCACATTTGTTAACAAAACTAGATCAAATGCATTCAAACTTTCTCCCAAACTCCAAGAACTTTCAAACCTGAACACCACCTTCCACCTACTGCAGCCACTATTGTCGGAAACCTTACCACCACCACCGTCGCATCCTTACCGGCGTCATGACCTCTTTCTTCCTCGACAGATCTGATCAACTGTTGTCTCTCCTTATCCTCTCATCAAAACCATCAGAATCCACTCAGATTTGTAGATCTGAAACTGTAGATCTGAAATGTCTTAGATCTGGAATAACCATTGTCATTATCGGGAGAACACTACTACTGGAAGATTGTTGTCGCGTCCCTGTCTTTCTTCCACCACCTCCGCCACTCTCGATGTCCAGCTCTGTAATTCTTCGGTATCCTCTATATCTATAATTATCCGACAACCTCCAGATCAATGTTTTTCTGATTGTCGCGACACTAGATCTTTCAGATCTGCAATTTTTTGAACGTCGTTGCACCAGATCTTCCAGATATGTGATTTTCCAACGACCGCGACCTCTTTTCACTCCTCTCGCCTCTGCTGCGCCATAAACACCACCGCTAGCACCTAGGGGTGTTCAAAAATATCTGTATCCGAAATTCCGATCCGAAATTCCGAATCCGAATTATCCGAAAAATCGGATATCCGAATTTTCGGATATCCGAAATTTCGGATATCCGATTTTTCGGAATCGGAATTGGATAGTGTTTTTCAGATTTTTCGGATAATTCGGATATTCGATATCCGAAAATTTTGATTTTAGTTTATACATTATTTGTTATTTTAATCACATATGTCTTATAATTTGAATGTTAGTAACTAAAACATATTCATAATACCCTTAAGTAAATACATATATTACTTCATATGCCTTTCTAATTTAAAAATATGTCTTTCTAATATAAAACCTTTCAAATTTGAACAAAATTGCAAATTTTCGGATATCCGTTTTGGTATCCGAATTCGTATCTGAAATTTCGGATATCCGAAACTTCGGATATCCGAAATTTCGGATACGGAATTGGATACCAAAAATCAACTATCCGAAATTTCGGATATCCGGTTATGAACACCCCTACTAGCACCTCCACATATCAAATATGTTCCACCACCGACACCTCCTCCTCCTTCTGCCTATCTCCACCACAGCCGTCGTTTTCTCCTCCAAACATCGTCTTCATGTTGCTTCAGATCTGCTTCGACAATGATCTATACGGTAATAAGATCAGATCTGGAATATCTGAAGACTCTAAGGAATATGACAATCTCAGATCTGTAAATCACATCAGATCTGGAAAATAATGTGCACACAAGGTGTTTGATGAAATGCCTCAACGAGATCTGTAAGTTTTTAAGTTCTGAGTAAGTGTTTAAAATTTTGTTTTAAGCTTTGAATCAGTGTCTGAAGCATATATTATAGTATGAATTTTGTTTTTTTTTTTTGGTTTTTTGCAATAAGTTGTGCATTTTAGTGTTTGAAATATGGAATTAAGCTATGAAATAGTGTCTGAAATGTTTCATCAAACTGTAAATTCTGATTTTTTTTTATCCAAATCTAAATTTTATGTGTAAATGAGTTGTGAAATTAGTGTATTAATCTGTGAATTTTATTTAGAACTTAATATAATAAATTCACATTTTAATATACACAAATGCCTCCAGATATGAATGTATAAATATAAGTTTTAAGTTGAGAATATTGTTGTAAATATATAAGTTTTGTGTATTAAACTGTATTACACTGTGAATTTATTGTATTAAGTTATTAGTTTTATGTATTAAGCTGTGAATTGACTGTATTAAACTATGAATTGACTGTATTATGTTTTTTTAAAGAGACAGTTGACTGTATTAAGTTATTAATTAAATGTATTAAGTTGTAAATTTTGTGTATTAAACTGTGAATTTATTATATTAAATGGTGAATTTTGTATATTAAATTGTGAATTCACAGTATTAAGCTGTGAATTGACTGTATTAAGCTATGATTTTTTTTTAAGAATTTTTTGTTTAAAAAAAATCATTATACAAATATATGATTTTCTCTAAATTTAAATAAATTATATAAAATATAAACCGTTATATTGTATAAATAAAACTTTAAAAGAAATACTAGCCTTCATATTTAAAGGTATATATATAAGTTTTAAGTTCAAATATAACATTTTTGTATATTAAACTGTAATTTGTTGTATTAATCTATGAATTTTGTGTATTAAACTGTGAATTGCCTGTATTAAACTGTGAATTTACTGAATTAAGTTGTGAACTTTTTATTTATTTTTTTCGTTAAAATATAAATTATTTATGTATGAATGGTTGTATTAATTTTCTTGTATAAATATGTAAGAATGTAACAGTTTTTATAATTGTTTTGCATTAAACTCTAAATTATTGAATTAATAGGTTTATTAAACTGTGAATATACTATTTAAGTTGTTAATACATGATTTTATATACAAATCGGATTTGGAAGAAATGATGGTTACAACAGTGACAGAAGTGTTTGACGACAGTGTGTTGTAGTGGTTGGTGATAGTAGAATTTGTGTTTGACTTCTTTGAATTTTTGAATTATTATAAACTTAATTGTATTAAGTTGTGAATTTTGTGTATTAGACTGTAAATTGACTATATGAAATTATGTAATATATATATATATATATATATATATATATATATATATATATTGTGTTACAATGCGAATGAAAACATTAAACTGTAAAAATTATGAATTTGTCATTTTCTTATCAAAAAAGACAAGAAAAAAATGATTTTTATATGTTTAATAAGCATTTATATGTTTAATAACTATAAAATGGAGGTTCTTAGAGTTCTTAATCTTTTTTTGTTCTTATTTGAACCTCTTCCTATATATATATATATATATATATATATCTATATATATATATATCATATATAATATATATATATATATATATATATCACACACACACACACAAAGGTTCATATGTTCTAACTATTTATTGTGTGGATGTAAGATTGATTGTGGACCAATCAAAATTTAAAAAATAAATAATTAATTAGATAAATATATAAAAGTAATTTAATAATTTGATAAATAACTTCCATGAATACTCCCTATAATCATGTTGACTTTTAGCCTTATTTATCCTCTTTTATCTACCGTCGTTCTTATTCCCTCTCCACCTTCAAAAACCATATTCCGCGTATGATTCCAGATTATGGCGTCGCACCACTCCTTCACTTCTCATTCTCCAATCGATTACCACGATTTCAGGTTCGGACCATGATAATTCTCTTTCTCCAATCTACTAGTAATTTTCTTTGTTCCTTTAATTAAAACGTTTTTTGATTTAATCGATTATATGTACTTCGTTTTGGGTAATCGATTTTGTGAACTCCCTTTCTGAAATCGCTTATTGCATTGTTTGAACCAAATTCTTTACAACTTATTTGAATTGATTCTGACTTTGCAATAATCGATTTTTTTTTCCTTTTATGAATACGACGTCTTTGCACTTCTGCAACGATGACCCTTGTCTCAAAACGCTTTCATATTTTTTTCTTGCCTTCGTCTACGAACAGATGACATTACCAATAACGCACTGATGTTGGTTAATTGAAGACCATCGATCAACTACTTGTGCTAATAATTCCATTCAGGGACCCTCATCTCCTTTTTTTCTTTCTTTGTTTGCACGTGCATATCATCAGTAAGGTGTTGATTTCATTTATTCTGTCGGAAATTGTGGAAAACTGAATGTATGTTCTATTTATAATAACTATTGTTTACATAAATATGCTCAGGCAGTAGTTGGATTCAAAGAATAGATAATCTATTTAAAAAGATAAGTGCAATTAACATGTTATTATTCATACTTCATACAATGGAGTGAATATATAGACTTGGAAATTATCAATATAAAAGTAAATGTTTATTTCACAAAACTAATCATATGGTCTGTGTTCCCATTTTTTATTTGTATACTTCATTTGCGCATCTTTTTGTTTGAATTGAATCACTGTATTATGAAAGTACTATGAATAGTTTGACCATCGACCATCTTAATGCTATATACCTTTCTTTTTAATATTTTATATTTAAAATATTTAATTTGTATAATGTTTGTATAGAAACTGTAATTTTCAAGTTGAAACAATCGAATAACTCGAAATTTGATTTTGGTTATTATGCCACTTAAATTTATAAAAATCCCATCTAGCAAGAAGCAACATGTTATCTTTTCACATGTTATTAGTCAGGTGCCAATTTAAATAATATACAATCATGGAGTTAAATGTTTCATTTGTAATATATATATATATATATATATATATATATATATATATATATATATATATATATATATATTTGTAACAGGTAGTTGCAAGAATCTCGTCTTACAAAATGTAATTCTTATATAAATGTTAGTTTCACAGAATATCATTCTCGTAAGAATGGTTGGAATGAAGTCGACTCTAAACTATCGAAGAAGATCAATTGTATTTGTTGAAGAATTGTATACTTAAGTATGCCATGTTTTTTAGAAATTTATTTCATTTTTATGATACTCTGTTAGAATATGTATAATTGTATTAAAATGTATAAGACTATTAATCTGTAAGAATATGTATGAATCTACATTATGATGTCTATGAATATAGAAGGATCTTGTTATTTTTCAACTAATGGTTCAAGAATGTTGTCTTTCTTCAAGAAGTTTATTTAATCAAAATATGTATTCTTTTAGAAATATGTATCCTTGCAACTTATAGAAAATCATTCTAACAGAATATCATTCTGACATAATAAAACTGGATGTAATTAAAAATTACGCTAGAATTAAAAAGGATTAATTAAAAAAATCAGAATTTTTAAACCAAAAAAATTAATTATCCCTAAAAATATGGAAATTTTCTTTTTTAAATATATCTCAATTGACTAAAATACCCTCATAGTTAAATTAGATGGTAATTTTCAATTATTTTTAATTTAATAAAATTTATTAGTCATTTTCATAAAATAACTAAAATGATTGGTCCCACAATCAACCTTACATCCACACAATAGATAGTTATAATACAATAACCTATATATATATATATATATATATATATATATATATACACAACTGATGATGAGAAAAATATGCACAAAAGTATATTTTATGTCTTCAATATGTCCATCTAATGCACATGCACTTCTAGGCTAATGGTATCAGTTGTATTGGAAATATACCATTTCTTTAAATGGACAAGAGTTCCAAGTCCACGATGGACAAAAAATATAAAATTATGAGTAGGCCATTTGTAGGTTTATGTTAGCTGTTTAAAAAAAATTAATCAACAAGTTAATTGTGCAAGATGATATAATAAGGCTAAAAAGACACCCATTTGGCTAAATAGACAATCCAATCATTACTTTTGATCATCTTTATTAAAAGGGTTATTGTCACTGTAGCCTAACAAACTCTAGTATATTGGTTTAAATGGTCATCGTGACTATTTTTTGTATTTGAAGGGCACAAGCTTGTATTTTTAGGTTTTAAAAGGTCATTTTGGAAATTTTGAAGGGGTCACCGGGTGACCCCATCATAATTATCAGTTTGCAAATGCCACGTAACTAATCCACATCATCATCATCATCATCATCTCTCTCTCTCTCTCTATATATATATATATATATATATATATATATATATATATCTATATATATATATTAATATATTATATAGTAGCCACTAAAGATATCTTGTTGGCAACAATCTCATACCCACCGTCTTCTTCTTCCTTGTCTTCATCCATCAACGTTTCCATCATCATCCACCACCGTGTAATACACCATCCTCCCTTCCTTCTTTGCAGCCGGTGGATCATTTCCCTATATTTCCATAAATACGTGGTGTACATCACAACAAGTGGCTCGTAGACAATTTTTCTGGTCTAGCTCCCACAGTTTTAACATCCTTCATAGATTCGTCATTTTCATCTACTAAAACAGAGACGAAAAAATCAAAACACGAAACCAATTTGAGTAATTATTAAAAAACGAGATTAAATTACGATAGAAAACTCACGTGATGCTATGGTTACACTAGTGTTGTTGCTTTTGCTGTTCTCGGAAGCCATAGCCATAGCTTGTGATCTTGTGATTCTTCGTGATGATTGTGGTGTCTCTATTGTTAACCCTTTAAGTTTCTTTCGAGTTAATCAAGAACACCGGAAATTACAAAGAAAAGAAAGAGAAATTGGAGCTATTGAGTGGGGAAAAGGAGAAATCATCAAGGGATTTAAGAACGATTTATGGCGATTGAGAATTTAGGGTCTTTAGTCGGACCGATTTCGCCTTCTTGAATAAGAAGATCGACGCGATTGATACAGAAGAAATCGAGAAGTTAAGCAACAAATTAAGTATCGATCAGAAAGATTCATTTTTTTTCCAAATGTACAGATTTAAATCAAATGATTTCGTTTTTAGGAAGCAGAAGAAAGAGAGAGTGATTGGTGACCCGAAATCCGTTGTTCCAGTTGTGTTTATTTCATTCAAATCGCGATGGGGTGCAGCCGTTTGTGCACAAACACAACAAACAAGGAATCTGGCTCATTGGATCTTTAACACGATCCCAGGAAGAAACCCTTGAATAATTGCCTTTATAGATCCACTGTAATGATACGATTACGAACAACCTCATTCAACAATTCAAGTTTCACAAAAAAAATTATCAATTTTTGGTTCAGATCCACTTACATATTGATAATGGGTTTCAGAAACAGAACAACTTTCTCAATTGATTCAATGTTGGCCAAAGTTTGAACAAATGCTATAGGAATCATGATTTTTGGGTTCGCCGTGTTGATTAAATTTCAGGTTAAATTTGTGCTCAGAAGACAAATGACTTCGATTCGTGTCGGGAGTCGAAACTATGGTGGTGGTGGTGCTGGTTTGGGGGATCACTTGCTAGCGAGATAGAATCAGGACGAATGGAGAAGAAAATAGATTCCAAAGATGTGCAAAGATCATGGCATATGTGTAATAGAGGGTTGATGGAAGTAAATGGGCGTAGCAACTCTTGGCTTACATGACAATGATGAGTCGACTCATAACTGAGTCATTGTTGACTCACTTGCTTAGTTAGCAGTTAACAAGGCAGTGTAACCTTTAAAAATGGATAAAGGTACGAAATTAAACCCTTCACAAGCAAAAAATAATCATGAGGGATCATTTAAACCAATATACGAAATATTGTTGGGCTATAGTGACAATAACCCTTTTTAAAAAGACAATTCTAGTAATTAATTAATGATTAAGAAACACCATTAATAATTAAATAAAAACTATTTTTGTACTTTTAATTATTAAATATTAAATAGCACATATTTTGTTTATAAAAAAATTAGTATATTTTTAATGTGTTATTAAAAAATTATTTTATACGGTATTTTTAAAAAATTAATATTTTTAAATAACTCATTTCATTTAGTCTCTTAGAACCTCAATACGCTATCAGCTCACATTCATTTGGCCTACATCTCATCTAACAGATCATCACCATTCATTTGTATATATTTATAGCTTCTATTGCAGATTATAATTAAAAAAAAGTATAAAATAACAAGTAAACGAGTGATAATCGATAATGTGGAGGAAAAGTGTGCGTAAAAAAACAGTGTTCTAAAAATAATATATATACATTTTTTTAGTATAATAATTTTTAGTGAGAAAAGAAAATACATTAAAAACTGATTTAAGAAAAAAAAATTACCATTTAATTTATATTGAACATGTTAAAAAATAAAATAATAACAAAAAACTAATATATTAAAATAAATAATATCTAAATAATAATAGTAATAGAATAGTATTAAAAAGGAAAACCAAAAATAATTATTGAATATTATAACTAGTTGTGAGACTCATGGATTACATGAGTTAATTTTTTTTAAAGTTAAATATAAAAGTCAAAATATTTGAAAATTTTTAATTTATTAGAAAATAAGAAAAATAATGAATTACTATAATGAAATTGTTTTTTATTTTTAAAATTTAAACAAATAATTTTTTTTTTAAGATAAATTGGATTGATCAGTTTCACAATCATAGATATTTTAATTGTCATCGTACAATGAGTGAGATGACAAACGGGCAACAAGCTGTGCCGCTAAGCCTTTTTGAATGGTAAAACTAATTATTTTAAAGACTACATCCGAAGATCTAGAGAGTTGATTAATAAAAATGATATCCATATATTACTATATTTATTGCAATTATTACAATAAAATACTATGTAAAATTTAATAAACTAGAAAAACTCAAAAAATAACATATAAAAAAAATTTAATTGAAAATAACTATAAAATGACATTTGACAAATTAAATGAGAATGTGATAAGTAAATTATATATATATAATATATATATATATATATATTCATTTATCAGAGTATATTTTTAAATAGGCTTTTTTGGGAAAACAAATGTAGCATCATTACCATAGGTGTCCATGGGATGGAAGCACTCTATAATAAATTACACCAAACCAAGGCCTAAAGAGAGAACAGTGGACACGTAGGCTTTACATAAAATAAGAGAGAACAGTGGACACATAGGCTTTACATAAAATAAGATCCAGATTTAGATTTTAAACGATTTTATTGAAACGTATTTGAAAATGAAAATGAGTATGTTGTTCGGCTAGCATAAACGTCTTCTCTCTTTGCAAACCCACCCAAGTTTGAATTTTTAGGGCCTATAAATTTTGGATGATCATATCACTTGAAACACCCGAACGGTATTAGGTGTTACCTTCTCTCGTTAAGAGTGCAAGTTTGAATTTTTAGGGCAGCCTAACGGTATCCGGTGTTGCCCTCCCTCCTTGAGGTTGATGGTTCAAGTCTCGTCGTGGACGTAGGTGAATTTAAGGTGTAGTTTAGAAGTGGGTTAGATTTCCGTTTAATAATAATAATAATAATAATAATAATAATAATAATAATAATTAAAAAAAGATGAATTTAGAACTAATTTAGAATTAAATTAAATTTATGGTTCCAAAAAAAATCATATCACTCAAAATTACACAACCTACACGACCTTCAATTTCTTTTATTAAATCGGTTTCCAAAGTTTGATGACTCAAACTTTATAAATTTACTTTGTCCATTTTTAATTAATTTACATTTTAATTTTAGTTTTTCTCAAATGACAATTCACATTTCTTGGTTTATTTTTTTTTATATATAAAAAAATTATATTCACAGGATCTTTTGATTTTTTTTATTTTTAGCAAATTGCATACAACCTTCAAAATGTGATTAAACGATCCACGTTTAAACCCGTAAAGGTTGTCCCGGTGAGAGATCTTGCGACCAAGCAGTGTGATCCAAGTTTAAGAAAAAGAAGAAATTTATACACAAGATGATCATCATTAACGTTAAATCCTGAAATTACATAGCGTCGATCATAACAACCATAAGCAGATCCACAACCAGCACCCTTATTAACCTAAAAATAACAACACAAAAGAAAAAGCGAAAGATAGTCCAATAGTACTACTACATGCTATGAATACATAAAAACTACATAGCAACCATATCACAACACAGTGTGAGCAGATCTGCAACCGCCCCTCGCATACTTTCAGTGGTGGTGGCCATGTGGATGTGGCTTATGTGGTGGTGGAGGGTGGTGAACCACATGAGGAGGAGGGTGGTGAACGACGTGAACCGCTGGCGGAGGTGGGTGGTGGACGACTGGTGGAGGTGGGTGGTGGACGACTGGTGGTGGGTGGTGAACGACGTGAACCACTGGCGGAGGAGGGTGGTGGACCACATGAGGCGGTGGATGATGGTGGTGGGGAGGGGATCTAGGCATCTTCTTTCTGTCTTTTTAGAATCAAAACTCAAAGCGATTCGAATTTGTGAATTGTGATGGTGTTAGTTGGGTTTGAGAAAGATGGTGAGTTTATAATGAATAGAAGTCAAACAAAAAGTCTAAGAAAACGTGTATGTGTATGTCACGGTGTTAGGTACTATCTACCTTATCCATGAATTGAAAATGATGTCCAAATTCATCTAACCCACACAAGATTTTAAGTCTTTTGTCTTTCTGTATCACATCTGAAAAACATATAATACATCATATATTTTCAATATGACAGAAAAAATATCTAGAGAATATTTACGTTTTCATTTTATATATTTTCCTTCTTTATCTCTTTTCTCCTATCACGATTGAAATTTTATATTAATAAGTCCAATGTAAAACGATTTTCTTATAGGCTCCCTCCTCTCCCCTTTAATTCCCTCCACCACCCATCACATCCTTTGCAAACTACAACCCACTTCCTCTCCAATTTCGATCTCCGTCTTGTTACTCCAATCTTCCTGATCAAGACTCTTATTAGATTTGATCTATGTAAAAAGACTTTTATTTTTGTCTGTAAATAATTAAATTTACAGAGTGTTATTTTACCATTTGGGTTATTCCCTTATCAATTTTTCTGAATTTATGTCCTAATAAGGAAGCTTTGTGCCTTGTCAAGAAAACTAATTTGAGAATCAGTTTCGAAATGAAGAATGTAGAAACCTTTTCGAAATTATTCGCTCATCAAGATTGAGATTTGATTTGTACTCAATGTTAGTTCCCGTTTAACATAAACTTTCGATTGTGTTATGAAAATGAATGGAAGTAATGAGTTGACATCATATATGGATTTTGATTTTTATATTATGTATTTTAGTTTGCTTTTCATCGTCGGTTAGATATCTTAATGTATTTGTGGTCTACGAAAATTTTAGGTGGTGTTGAATATATTCTAAGAGAAGCGTGATCTTAAAAAGAGTTACGGTCAATAAACAACATTGATTGTGGTTCTTTAAAGGAAAAATGTTAGAAGGGCTTGTGGCTCAGATTAGTTTTCTCCGGGCACTTTTCACTTGTGAGGAAATAAAAAAGGTTGTGTGGGATTGTGGCTCGACAAAGGCTCCAGGATGGGTTTCGTTTAGTTTTATAAAGCGACATTGGGATATTATGGAGGATTATGTCCTTGATTTTATCACTCACTTTCATTCACACTCTTTGATTCCTAAGGGGTGTAATGCCTCGTTCTTTATTGAGATGTCTCACCTATTTTATGTTGATGATGTTGTTCTTTTTGCTCCTTGGGATCAAACAAATGCTCTTCATATTGTTCGTATCCTCAGATGTTTCTTTTTGGCTTCGGGTTTGAAAATTAACTTACTCAAAAGTAAGTTATATGGTGTGGGAGTTAGAGCGGATCAGGTTTCTAATATGGCTCATTGTGTGGGATATATCTCTGATACTCTTCCATTTTGTCATTTTGGGAGTCCCAGTTGGTCAAAATATGACTAGACTTGTGGCTTGCTCTTCTATCATTGATCGTTTTAGAAGTAGATTGGCGGGATGGAAAGCTAAAAGTCTTTCAATTGAGGGGAGGCTTACTCTGATTAAAGTTGTTTCGAGTTCGTTAGGCAGCTACTTGATGTCTGTTTTTCTGTTCCAGTTACAGTCCTTAACACTCTTGAGAAGATGAGAGCTAATCTTTCTGGGGTGTCGATTTGGATGATGGACGTATGCATGTGTTCGATGGGATCGGGTACTAGCTTTTCGAGATGATGGGGGATTGGGAGTTGGAAGTTTTTTTTTTCTTATAATAGGGCTCTTCTTATGCGGTGGCGTTGGCGTTTCTTTCATTACCTAAAATTGTTGTGGGTTAGAGTGGTGAAAGTATTGTATGGTTCAGATGGTCATGTTCCTCCTTTGATCGCGAGAAGAACTTGGACAGGTCCTTGGAACGGGTCTCACAATTTTTTTTGGCATGATGTTTGGTTAGGAGATATCCCTCTAGCTACTTCTTTTCACATGAGTTTTGCTTTGGATAATCACCGTACTTCTATAGTCAGAGATCGGATGAATATTGGTTGGGATATGTGCCAATTTAGACAAGTTCCTAGAGGGGTATTAAGGAGACTCAGTGGGTTAATTTCTAGATGCTGATGCAGGGTGTCCATCTAGATATATAACTGTCCTCATAGATTGGGGTGGTCTCTCGATATTTCTGATATGTTTTCAGTTTCTTTAGCTCGTTCTTTCCTTGATGGTGGGTTGATTACTTCGGGTGATAAAGCTACGAGATGAAATAATCAGGTTCCTGTTAACTCGATATTCTATTATGGAGGGTGCAGCTTCAAAGTATTCCTACGAGAGAAAAACTTTCTTCTAGAGGGATTATGGTGACAACGATCATGTGTCATGTCTGTTTGTGTTCAGTGAAAACCATCGATTATCTTTTCGCAGGTTGCCTTGCTTTGATGGATATTTGGAGACGTATTGCTATCTTGTGGGGTATTCGTCTTCCTAATCAGATTTTTGTTCTTTCCCTTCTATATTGGTCTGATGCGGTCATGTTGAGGGCAGACCACGTAATATTTTTGATGCA